CATGAATTAATTCAAGTTGAAAATCTAATAACCTAGAATCTAGTTGATTAGGAATAGAATTAATAAATTAAGAATTTTTTGTCCACTAATTCATAATTAACATCATATAACACTGAGTTCTTTCTAATACTATTTCAAAGTTATCAGGCATTAAATATAAATATGGTCTAAACAATTCTGTATCCCTTTTGTTAATCCCTTTTAAACTACAGTAAAATTAATTTTAATATTTATGAAATAGACTCGATTAGTTTGTTGTAATTAACTATTTTTGATTTAAATTACTCAATGTCAATCAAATTAAAACATATTTCTTCATATTATCATGTTTAGAAATTGATGTTAAACGATCAGTCGAAGTATTGTGGTGTGTACTACTGATGTTGACAGATATAAGTAGTATGTATTATCAATTGAAAGTGAAATGCCTGGCGAAAGAAGGTTAAGAAGATTGAAAGAAAGAGAATGATTGGTGTGGAAACGAAAGAACCATGAAGTCTGAGACGATTAATCAACATTTTGTAAATGAGGAATTTACTGTATGGTTCTCAGATTTAACTAAGTGATTTTGTAATTTTGTACTCAAGCACATTCGGTTTTCCACACTGGTATTCTTTTTCACTACAGTATTATTATTTATTCTTATTATTTGCAGTTATTGAGTACTTCATGTTGACATTTAGTGTTCGCTAGAGATATATGATGAATTGGGAATGCATTTATTGGTGAAGATATTTCCACATGCAGTTATTTACTTATATACAACTTGTATAATCGTATGAAGATGTTTATTTTTAATAATCTCTCTTATTGTTTTGTCTTTTTTATAGAGGGGACAAAACTTTCTTGCCTTATTTATAGTATCAATGAGTAATATTTTATCATAGAGACATTTATTCATCATTACAATCATTTCTATGATTTGTAATGTTATGGAATTTATCTAAATAGATTTAAATGTGAACAATTCTGTTGTTGGGCAGAAGTTTCTAGTCTTAAAATATAACCTGAAACTTGATTAACATTTTTAATGAAAAATAAATATGGTTAGAACTATTCCTTCAGGATTATAGAACTTACTAAAATCATGTATATATATATATATATATATATATATATATATATATATATATATATATATATATATATAAACTTACTAGATACAACAACTTCAGCTTTATATTTTCGATCTAGAATAGCTCCAGTTGGTGATTTAAGATCAACATAAAATCGTAAATTCTGATGGTTGAAATCTCTTGTAGTTGGATGGAAACTTATTGATACGTCTTTTTTTAGTTCACCTGAATAAAATCAATAATGTTATCAACATTTTTAAAATTAAAATAATGTATATATATATATATATATATATATATATATATCAGAAGAGGGTATTGTGGAGATTTTAGTAATTTAATAGTTGAATTCATGAGTCATTTGAAGCTAGACCATCATGGAAACCCTGAAAGCACTAGACGACCGTCTCTTCCCAGAGTGGAACTCCTCAACAGTGCACATCCACAACCACGCCCACAGGGTTCGAGCCCATGACCGGTCTGTCTCGAGCGCAAACATTTAACATCTAGACCACTGAGTTGGGATCCAATGGTGTTAATGTCTAATTGCAACCAATTTAAGAAATTGCGCCATGGTCTTCAGTGCTTCCAGATTTTCCATGGTGGTCTAGCTTCAATTGACTCATGAATTCAACTATTAAAATGCTTTCGATTGAGATCACGAACCGATTGATGTTAGACCACCGTTGGAAACCTGGAAGTACTGAACGGGCGTTTCGTCCTATTTTGGGACTCCTCAGTAGTGCTCATCTACGATCCCGAATAAAAAAGAATCTGACCCAGGACCCTCGGTCTCGCGCGCGAACGCTTAACCTACTGGACCACTGAATATCATTGCCGTTAACCGATTTTCAATTACATCAAAAGTTGAGTCACTTTTAAAGTCCAGATTCACATAAAGGTATTTCCTTGAAACGGAATCACTGGATTCTTTGTCTCTACTTTTTCTCATCTTCTCAGCTAAACTTTTCCTGACGAATGCGTGTTTTTTGTCAATGCATTCAGTACTACATATTCAATGTTTTCGGTAACATAAAGAGCCAATAAGATTCCGCTTTACCCTAATAGCACCCAACTATATATATATATATATATATATATATATATATATATATATATATATATATATATATATATATATATATATATATATATACGATCTGTAGATCAACTTGAATTCCGAAATTCGTCTAAGGATAAAATTATTAAGCTGGAAAGTAATTTGTAAAAGGTCCATTTAACTAATCATTAAACTTTAAATTCGCCTACCATCTGTAGTATACAAATTAATTAGCCTTATTCTAAGATCATAACATAACAACATGTAAATAAAGTTTGAATGCATAAAATTTCAGTCAGTAATTTGATATGCGCATACTTCATATAACTATTAAAATCTCAATATTTGACCTAACGTTAAATAAGCAGTCATATTTCACATTTATTTGTGTTTAGCTAAGTTCATCTGTTACTATTGTATCAAATCTCTTTTGTCATAATATCAGAGTCAATAATAATGAGATGTTTTAGTCAGTCAGCAACAATGTAGAACTTCGTACGTATGTACGTTCGTGCATCAGTTCAAGTTGCCATACCACATTAGCACAGAGATACAATTGTCGATTCAAATCCCATAGTGGTAGAGGTAGTGAAAGTATAATCAGAATGATTATGGTTTGAAGATGTTATTCAAGGAATATAATCCAGTGAAATAAATATGGAAAAAGAAAAAAAGAGACAAAGAATTTAGATGTTTCAAACAACAACAAGAAAGCCATAATGCTATCGTAATGTTTACTCATTCTTTAAATTAATTTACTCTGTAATGAATACTGTTTTTTTTCGGAATTGATCGGTCATACGAGATCATTTTTAAGTGATCTTGTGAAATTCGTATTGATATACTTTTCCCATTTGATAATTATCACATATATTCAAGTTAATAGTCTTTTTATTATACATAATTTAAATAAACTATTCTTATTATTGGTATGATAAGGAGTTTTACTCTCAATTCCTACTGTACATCCCTTTCATATGGAAACCATACATAACTTTGAATGATGTATATGGAATCATAGAAATGTGTATTATATCAAAAATCATGTAAATAAAGATCGAGAACTGTTAGGTCCCGATAAGCATAATGAATGGTAACTTTGGGATCCATTTCTGGACAAATAATATGCTTATATTTTTATGGTATAATAGTTAAATAACTAAACTATTCATATACATATTACTCTTATTATAAGCTTTATTTTGACCTATGAACCTTTATTATGCGTCTTACCATTCTTGAATTATACCCCGTTTTTTAATCACTGCCTTCCAAATCACAGCCGCATTTGGCCAAATCTTGTACAAATGTTGTTTTCATATTTTATGGTACATTATGGTCTGTTTGATTGGTATGTAAACCGAGTATGTTTGAAATGCATGATTCATATTGCAGAGGCTGAGATTGGTGTTCTGGACTTAACTGGCTGAGCTAGTCTAAGCGGAAAGCAGGACCAATAAAGACTCTAGACTGCTCTCACGTGTTTTACGTGTCATTGATCCGATCGATAAATCACTGCTCTCTAATAGGCGGTATCATTACGTTATAAATTAACAGGGCTTACTTGGCCACAAGTTATAACAATTGGCGATAGGGATTCAGCGATAAGTTATGTGCATTGAGCAAGATTAAGGTGATGATTGTAACTCAACATTTGGGGTTCTCATCAACTTTTAATAATAGTCATTATCTTCGCATTCACTCGGAACCATAAACCATTAATTAAATACATCAAAATTATGAATATAGATGATACTTAAATTAGTTCTTGAAAAGTGAATTCAAATTATATATGCTACTCATTTTCATATTTATGCATATAAATACCTTTATGAAAAACGACTAGTTTTTGTGAATGTAGACTAAAGTCTTTTCCTTCAACTGCTGTACCAGATGATAATCCAACGTAGACATCAGTTAAAGTTGATTGTATCGCCTGATTTGTACCTTTTCGTATCACGGTTAATGTTAGAATACCTCTTTCTGGACAGATTGTATACACTTTATGATCAAAGCCGAGAGTAATCCAACTTAATTCCATACTGACAGGAATAAGAAAAGTAAATACAATTGTTAATAATACAATAAAATTAGTATTATTATTAATAAATGAGGGGAATTTACAAATGTTCCCTTCAAGCATATCCTTAATACTCAGTATTTTCTTACTCTGTCTTAATGAAATTTAAATCGAATTTGATTAGATCTAGAATTAACTGAAAATTCTAAAGTAGCACTATTACACATAATACTTGATCATGACATACTGATCAAAAGTCAAAGATAACAACCACGATTACGCAACACTTTTGACTGTAGCTCGAAGTCTCTTAGTATAATAATATTGCGTTACTGTCAAGCTAAATGACTTTACGTCTGAATTGCTCAACGTTATTCTTTTACTGATAGACTAAGAATAGATTTACCGTTGTTTGACAATATGTCTGTATCCAGTTTCATGTATGTCAAGTCTTCAGTGCTGATTTAGAGTATTAGTTTCATCAAAACTACAGGTAAACCTTGCTGACGAGTTCCAATATCAGGTCTTCATGTCAACTACCTCTAATAACTTTACAGAATGAAATCATATTTGAGAAACTAGGGTACGGTGTTGTGTTTTCCCTCGAGAAACTAATTCAAGATCTATGCAATGACATAGTTTATCTATGTAGATTTGAAATTAGCGTATTCTTTCACAAACGGTTTCTAATAATATCCTTGTCCGGTTCATATATATATATATATATATATATATATATATATATATATATATATATATATATATATATATATATATATATATATATATATATATATATATATATATCAATATCTGTAATAACGTTGATTTTCAAATATTTTAGGTTGTAAGACGTTGATGAGAACCTGATGAAATAAAAGGAATTCATATTCATATTATTATCTTTTTTCTTGCTCCATATAATATAATAAAGGGAACTATGTGTATGTAAATTATTTTTGTATTGACTGAATCGTAGTGAACATCAACTTTGAGATGCAGGTACATCCAGCTGACGAGTCTCAAATAGAACGAAGCACGCTATGAATTTCACTGTTAACCACTATCATCTCTACTTAAATTACAAGTAGGAAACGCTTTTATTTTTTTAGGTTCAAGCAGGTAAAATGAATTGAGTGCAACTAATCTGTCAACATAATTTTGAATGGCATAGATTTTTTTCTAACTTCTTATAGGACGATTGTATCTATTTTCTTCCTCTTCAATCTTCTCAAAATCTATACAGAATACTACAACCATAATTTTAAGGTATCCTTCTGCTAAGGACGTTACATCCCTAGAACTCACTTAAAAAAGAACCAAATTTTGTAATTTTATTTAAAAAATTTTGAATTTCTTTGTTTTTTGCGCCAAAAGCGCTCTTTTCACCTTCATGTCGTATTTCCCACTTTGGAGAATCTTAAATGCTATTAGTTTATTGTGTCTTTTATTATGCTATTTTTGTAACTCTCACCAAGGACGGTTTCGCGCTGTATATATATATATATATATATATATATATATATATATACGTTTTGATTTGTGTCTGTTGTAATCGTTCATGCTTCTGACTTTTGTGGAATATACTTTCCCATTCCAAACTTAGACTTCTTCCTTTAGTTAGCGGGGTTGAAATACATCAAATAGCTAGCTTATTGATCTTTGGTCATGGAGTCTTTGTTCCTTTCGCAGCCTAAATGAACTCGTAACCACTTCAAACCTATCACCTTCTTTATTAATAACCTAATAAATAGTAATGTAATCAAAAATATGGAACAAACAAGCTTACCTATATCTTTTTCGTTCAATTGATTTATTGACATCATGGATTTCATATTGGATCTCACAAACTGTATCGCTTGATAAAGATAATGATGATGATGATGATGATGATGGTGAAGAAGATGACATTGATAACTTTTTCTTTGATTTTTTAACTGTTTTTTTATCTTTTAATAAAATAACTACTAATTTACGTCTATTTAAATCATTTTGATAAAAATAATCTTGAATTGATTTATTTTCTATTTTATTAAATAATTCACAATTCATTTTTTCATAATTAAATAATTTAAATTGTAACCATGGATTTAATGTATAAATATTTTCACTATTTAAATAAAATCCTACATAACCTGGAAGAATAGTTTCTAAGGTATCAGGTTTTGGAGCATTATTAATTAATAAATGATTATTATTATTATTATTTAAATGGTTCAATTGTTTATATCGTATATTTAATTTAAGCGGTTCATTTGTTTGAATCATATTTGTATTATTCTGTTTAATAATATATATCATTCTTTCAATAAATGGATTAACATTTTCTTGATTATTTGTTTTATTGATTAAATGATATTTTAATAGAATATTATTACATAATTGAGTAAAATCAATAATTTGTCCAATATCACCAGCATCAAATATCAATAAATCAATTGTAAATGATTGATTATTTATTGAATATGAACTAAATAATATTTGATTTGAATTAATTTGTGATTGTGTAAAACATTGAATTGTTTCATTATTATTATTAATGAATTGACCATATTGTTTATATTGTTCATTATATTTTGATATAATATAAATTATATAATTAGGATTAGTATCATTATCTTTCATAGATAAATGTTTTGTTTTAATTAATGTATCTGTATAAGGTAAAATTAATAATTCAGAAGAATGTTCTAATTCAGGTAATAGATTATGATTATTTTTTTGTATTGATATGATTATTGATTTTTGACCTAAATCATCATCGAATGAATTGATTAATTTAAAATCGATTTGAAATTGTTTATCTATATAATTTTCACAGTTTATAGCATAAAAAACAATTTGATGATTTTGAACTTCATTATTAGTGAATGTTGTAATATTTTTTAATGGATTTGATATATGTGATAATAATCCACATGGAAATAGTGAACTATTATCATTTAAATTATATGTTATTTCGACTGGATTATAATTCATTTTGTCCGGTTGAATGTCTTTATATTGGATAAATGTGAATCTATTGATTGTAGCCATTAGTATTGCAGTATTAAAGGAATATAATATAGTGTCTGAAGCGTCGTTTTGATGCATTTGATTTCCTTCTTTGTCATCTGAAATGAAACGGAAGGAATTTAGAATATAAAGTTGGACTACTTATAAGTAATTAAAATTAAATGATAAAAGAAACATGCTGTGCTATCTGAACTTGTTCTTTCAAATTTAATTTGATTTTCTTGATACTACAAAGCTAGTTTATAGAAATGTGCTATCAGATAGGCCTACATGCTTGTCAGGTTTTAAGTTGCGAGTTAAAAATAGTTTTGATAAGGTGTTGTGAAGAATGTTGAACCCAAAGTTTCGAATTACAGACTGATTTTTGGTTAGACAATAGTTGAAAACCAGCAAGGATTGAATTGTTGTTTCATCCAAGTCTGAAAATTTCAGTATTGCGCACCCAAGATTAAACCTTTAATTAAATACATAACTTTATGGCTTCGTGGTGGGCATTTAACTTTTGGACCACTAAGTTGGAATTCAATGGTTTACATTTCTAATTTCAATCACTGGGCAATTTCGTATGACAAGTATTCATTTCAAAAACCAGTCCGTGCTACGAAACTTGAAATAGATTTCCATGTTTGTTCTCGGGTGTTATAAAGGGATTCGGCCATCATCGGAGTTTATCTTCAGTTTAAATTTAAAATATTAACTGATAATTGCTTAACATAATTTAATTTAGAGTGACGTTAACTTAGTAAATGATTACAATGAGAACTGTTTTTTTTTCAAGAGATAGAACACTTCATAAATAAGGATATGCGTTCACAGGTGGTATTGAAAGGTTACCCTACCAATATAAATTAACAGGATGTAGGAAATATTGCCCATTTGATTTCAACAAAGTGGTTTATCAACAACATGGGCTTTACTTATGATAAAAACATTAAGTAAAATCATGAAGAGAAGTATGACGTTTAATAAGACATCAGTAATTCTTCAACGAAATCATAAAACAATAGTCTGTTACTAAGTTTTCTAAGGAAAAGCGAAAGATATCAGAACATAACAAATATGTAGCGTTGAACAATAGTCTGTAATCGTTTGTTCTACTAACAGAGGTATAATGTGTTAGGACTTACATGCGTTATGTTGATTTCAATGAGTTTAGCCGACATATTTCCATATAGTAGGAAAATGTTTGGTAGCATATTCAAGTAGCTTATGTTAAGTTTATCTGATTGTAACAAAACTGGATAGCACCGAAATGGATCAACACATTCCTGAGTCTATTAGCCAGTAATGAAGCAACATACGAGGCAGTATAAAAGTCATCAGCCTGTGTGGATATTTTATTAATAAGTTATTAACTTCTGAAAGATTTTAGAAAAACTACCTCGCTTTTTTAATTCTCCTGCGTCAACATTTCTTACTTCACCAGGTATCCATTCAATTGCATCGATCATTCTACACAATAGCTTGAGTTTTTATCAAATATGACTCGGAGTGTAACTTATCTGTCATTCTGTCATATTTATTAGAACTAATAAAATGTAATTCTTAACGAAGCGAAACCAATTTGGATTGTATTCTACTAAGACTGTATCTTTTAATATGTTTTATAATTAAAAGCCTTGGAGCTTTTTAAGTATGAATCTAATCATAAATATATCAAAAATGAGATGATCAACAATGCTATTTTAATTTTTCAATGTTTATTCTTCATCATTAGTAAGCTGTAGATTTCAATCATAGGAAATTTATCTTGATGATACGTTAGACCAATCAGACAGGTTAAATGATAAACATATACTATTCGCTAAGATCTTACTTCACTTACAAAGGAAAGACGGATACACTCACTAATAGTTAATAATATGGCATAATTTTGTGAATAAGCTAGTATATACACTGTTGATTTAAGTTTTTACAATAATGCTTCCTTCTGACTCAAGTAACTGATTGGTATAGGAAGCTTTTATTTCAGTAACAAAATTGAGCATTCTCACAACATTACGACTGATTATTTTTAGATTCACTGTATCCATAAACACTTTTCACTTTTACTAATCCTTTCAGTAATTACGTAATTATATTTTAATTTCTGATGATAATATGATTTCATTTTCTGTAGTGCATATTCCGATAGCTTATTGTATATAATGAAATATATATTAACTTACTCTCTTCAGTGATTATACTTTTCATCTCTGGATATTCTAATGGACGTAAAGTTTGTAGATTAGTAATAGGAAGGTAAGGCAATGGTGAATGACTTAACCCACCATTGGTTCCATCCACTCGACGTATACGGAAACGTAGAGTAACAGGATCAGTTGAATATTGTCCATCAGATAAACGAAGTACACATGAATCAGTAAGAAATTGTTCTTGATAAGGACCGGTGTAAAGGTAACTATGAGTATAAATAAAATAGGTAGAATATAAAATGATAGATGAGTGATTTCATTTTTAAGAAATACTAATGTAAGAGTTTAGAAAAGATAATGTTTATCACTTATTTGAATTAATGAGTGTACAACATCATTTCTTTAATTTTTCTAGTTATTACTGATAAGTCTTGCAATTTGAACGCTATACTCGGTTCCTAAGCTATTCTCGAAACCCCCAAGCTAGAACTATACAGTGACCTGAACACTAGAGAGAAGGGGGAAAGTATACGAAAGTACTTTACTCCAAGGTTCATTTTAACACAGAAAATATAGGGTTTTTATAATATTTTAAATGTCCTTGGGTTGCTCGAAGATTCTGGAATGCTACTAAACATGTGACGTTTCCCTTCCTTGATCTTTCTGGCTAAAACTTCAAGTAAACGCTGATCGGATAAAATGCATCTTAGTGTTTCCTGATCCTTGCTTGTCTTTTGCGAGAAATTTTCTGGATCACCACAACAATTACTCAGCAAGTCAAACAACGTAGAACATCGGTCCACGTTTCTACACTCCATTAACACAGTGAGATGTGAATGTAAGAGAAAATCCTATAGTAGTGAACGATTATTAAATCTATTGGTTGGCTAGATTATTAGTTGATGAGTATTCGAAATCTTAGAATCAGAATTTACTCTAGATTTATCTCCAAAGATACAGACATAAGTTAGGTTCATATAGGAAAAGTGACTAAATAACCATAATTTAGTGGATGAATCG